TTTCCCCATTAGAAATAATGGAAATCAAATTAATCCGTTCAAGACACCCAAAAGTATGAAAAAAAAATATTTTTACCATATGAAATATACATTTTCCTACACACACAAACAGAAGGATAGATGCACAATACATGTATACATATGTATATTGTGTAATGAAGAATAAATGACACTTACCTTTATTGAGGATGAGTGATGGGATGGGAGGAGGGGAGATGATGGATGTTATTATTTTTTGGAAGGGGAATCCCCTTCCATGAGGACTTGAGGTAGCAAGTCCTTTTCCTTGAATTCCTGCACATATTTTTCAGCCACTTTTTGGTCCAAACTGGCAGCCTCACCATGCCTTATCACACTATGTATGCCACTACGATTCTTAAATCTCTCAAACCAATCTTTGCTGGCCTTAAATTCACTCACAACACCACTAGTTGCAGGCATTTTTTTAATTAAATCATCATGCACCTGCCTTGCCTTTTCACATATGATAGCTTGGGAGATGCTATCTCCTGATATCTGTTTTTCATTTATCCACACCAATAACAGTCTCTCAACATCTTCGAGTACTTGCGATCTGTGTTTCGAAAACATACTTGCACCTTTTGCAACAATAGCTTCCTTCATTACCTTTCTGTTGGCTAAGATAGTAGCAATGGTTGATTGGGGTTTGTTATACCTGGCCAGCTTGGAGACACGCACTCCAGTTTCATACTTTGTGATGCTCTCCTCCTTCATTTCAATTGTAATTCTCACCCTTTTTACCACAGGGTTGGCACTAGAAGCTTTCTTGGGGCCCATGGTGGCTTATTTTGCAGTTACAAGCACTAAAAACACTGGGATAAAACAAAATGTACCAAATGTATGCGTGGATGCGACCACACTGGCTGGCTTGTAAACACTGGCACACTAACTGAAGGCAGGGCAGCTAAGGCACGCTCAGGCCAGATGGGACACATGGACGCGTTCGGGACGAATCATGTTGGTCGAGTTTTTCATTGTTGGTCGGGCCAAAATTTTTATGCTCAAACGCTTCGTTGGTCGAATTTATCGTTGGACGATGCCTTCATTGGTTGGGGTCCACTGTATATGTATATAAAATACACAATAACTTTAAAACACTTGAAACTTGAGAAAGTTTCCAGACATAACTGAGATATGTGTTTGCAGAGGATGTAAACAAACTGAGAGTGGACGAGTGGCACACAGACACCATAATAGTGAATCAGGAGCCATGTAAATGAATTTTTGGGTATAATTTCAAATATCCATATTAGCAAATTGCCGTAAAGCGAAGCGCCACAGAGTGAGGCACTTTTGTGTAAATGAAGAAAGTTGAAAGTGAACATAGATAAGAATAAGGTGATAAGGGTATCAAACGAGTTAAGTAAAAAAAAAATTGGATAGCACATTGGAGGGAAGGAGTATGGAAGAAGTGAATGCATTCATATATTCGGAAGTAGACTTGTCAGCAGATGGGTTGATGAAGGACAAGATAATCCATAGAATTGATGAAGGAAAAAGGGTGGGAGGTGCATTAAGTTATCTGTGGAGACAAAGAATGTTATCCATGGAGGCAAAGAAGGGAATGTATGAGAGTATACTGGTATCAACACTCTTATATGGATGTGAAGCATGGGTTGTAAATGCTGAAGCAAGAAGGAGGCTTGAGGCAGTGATGTCATGTCTAAGGACAATGTGTGGTGTAAATATTATGCAGAGAATTCATAGTGTGGAAATAGTTAGAGGTGTGGAGTTACTAAAGGTATTTTTCAGAGGGCTCAGGAGATGTTGTTGAAGTGGTTTGGTCATTTAGAGAGGATGGAGCAAAATAGGAAGACTTGGAGGGTGTATAAATCTGAAGTGGAGGAGGGGCAGGGGTCATCCTAGGTACGGATAGAGGGACGGGGTAAAGGAGGTTTTGTTTTCAAGGGGCTTGGACATACAGTAGGCACGTGTGAGTATGTTAGATAGGAGTGAGTGGAGACTAATGATTTTTGGGACTTGGTGAGTTTTTGGAGTATGAGCAGGGTAATATATGTGAAGGGATTTAGGGCAAATCAGTTAGCCAGACATGAGTCCTGGAGGTGGGAAGTACAGTAGAGTGCAGTACAGGAAATATTGTATTTTAAAGGAGGGGTTTAAGATATTTGCTGTTTAGAGGGACATCTGAGCTGTCATATCTGCATGCTTCTGGCAAGACAGTGATAGTGTGAATGATGGTGAAAGTGTTTGTTTTTTGAGTCACCCGTCTTGGTGGGAGATGGCCATTGTGTTTAAAAAAAAAACCACTGCACCCACACCCTACCCCACCCCTAAAGCCTTTTTGATATCTTATCAAACTAATTATAAAGATACATTATTTAAAAAGACCTGGACTCTAAATATATTGGGACTTGCTTAAATCACACTCACAAGAAAAGACTGATGGAGACCTTCTTAATTTAGATCAACAATAAAATGTAATAACGTTTTTGTTGTTTACTTTATAATAAACTTTAAGATATCTTATTCAAACTAAAGTTTATTATAAAGTAAACAACAAAAACGTTATTACATTTTATTGTTGATCTAAATTAAGAAGGTCTCCATCAGTCTTTTCTTGTGAGTGTGATTTAAGCAAGTCATAGATATTTGTAGAGTCCAGGTCTTTATTAAATAAAGTCTGGTATCTTTTATAATTTGTACTAAATCATATTTTGTACTATTGAGGGTTTGCTATCTTTTTCTTTCTCTTTGTATTAACCCTTTGACTGTCGCAAGCCCTTTTCTGAAACTGTCATTCTATGTCTCAAAATTTTTGGAAAAAAAAAAAAAATAATTTTTTCTTATGAAATGATAATCTTTTCCCGATGGTAATGACACCAAAAGTACAAAATTTCGTCGAAAACTCACAGAATTACACTCCTGCAAAGTTAGCGGTCTCGGCAACATATACGCATCGGCGATTTCGCCGACTTTGAGCCCTGTTTTTGGCCAATTCCGTTGTTCCAGTTGACCAAACTCATAGCTATTTCTTTAGAACTCCATTTTTTCAATCAATTGAGTACAAGAAACCGCCCATTTACCGATTTGAACTACCCAATAAAGTGGTCAGAAATTGGCAATTTGGCCAATTTCATGCAAATTAAAAAAGATGCCAATTTCAAAATAGGGTCAAGAATAAACAATGTAGACATTCTTGGCACTAAAATGACATATCCTCTGTTCATTAGTCACATCTCTAGGTCCCTCTTGTATTACTATTGCTTTCTATTTTGATTTTTTATTCATACAAAAAATACAAAATTTACTGTTATGCAGACTACTGCATTATTGTAAAAATGATATAAATAATATCAGTGCACTAGTGAAAGAATATTAGACTCCCCAGTTGACGTGTATTGGACGTGTGATGTGATTTGCTTACTCTTGAACATTGGTAAAAATTGAACATTTCCGCTACTTTGAGCTCAATTTCAAGGTCGTTTTCATCGTGAAACTAATCAAAATCATCTCTATTTCTGCAATATGTTTTCCATTCTATCACATGAGACCCTGAAAACAAGAATACAATGATAAATACTATACGAAAATACACCTCAAAGTCGGCGTTTTAAGCCCAAAAAAATGGTCAGTTTTTTTTCTCGTTATGCACTGCGTGCTGCAGGATTTTTTTTATGTGGTGCACACTGACCACACAGACCTGTTCTCTCACATGTGGGCCTACCAGCTTTCTCCTGCTTGATTTGAAGCCGCTAGAATTATTGAGTATACATATATACATGTACGTCCAAAACACTGGCTCGTAAGACGTATATATATGACCAAAACAGTCAAAGGGTTAATTATAGATGACTTTTTCATCAATAATTGGTATGACATATCATCTTTGTCTTTTTCTTTCTCTCCTTTTTGTTCTCCCTTTTTTCTTTCTCTCATTTTCTTTCTTTTTCTTGCTTTTTCTTTCTCTCTCAGTATTATATATGACTTTCCACCAATAATTGGTATGACATATCTTCTTCATTCAAACACTTTCTGCACTAAGCTTAGCTAAAATACTGTACTCTCTACAGTACTTACCAAGACTCTTGAAGCATTTGTTTTTTGTTTTACTTATGTTATACAGTGGACCCTCAACCAACGATATTAATCCGTTCCTGAAGCTCATCGTTAGTCGAAATTATCGTTAGTCGAGTTAATTTTCCCCATAAGAAATAAAGGAAATCAAATTAATCCGTTCCTGGCACCCCAAAGTATTGAAAAAAAAAATTTTACCACATAAAATATTAATTTTAATACACACAAACTGAAGAAGACATGTACAATTACATGACACTTACCTTTATTGAAGATCTGGTGATGAGTGATGGGATGGGAGGAGGGGAGAGTGTGGATGGTGTTAGTGTTTAGAGGGGCAATCCCCTTCCATTAGGACTTGAGGTGTCAAGTCCTTTTCCGGGGTTACTTCCCTTCTTCTTTTAATGCCACTAGGACCAGCTTGAGAGTCACTGGACCTCTCGCACAACATATCTGTCCATAGAGCTCTGTACCTCCCGTTCCTTTATGATTTGTCTAAAATGGGCCACAACATTGTCATTGTAATAGTCACCAGCACGGCTTGCAATAGCTGTGTTAGGGTGATTTTCATCCATAAAGATATGCAGTTCAACCCACTTTGCACACATTTCCTTAATCTTTGAAGTATGATTGATTGTATGTTTGGATGCGACCGCGGTGGCTGGCTTGTAAACACTGCGCAGGCCACACATGGACGTGTCTGAAACGGAACGAATTGCGTTGGTCGAGTTTTTTAGCGTTAGTCGAGGCAAAAATTTTGCGTTAAAATGTATTGCTAGTCGGATTTAATGTTATACGATGCCATCATTGGTCGAGGGTCCACTGTACTGTAAAATAAATATTGTACCAAGAATTTGTCTTGCCATAATTTGTGTTATAAAGTTTTGATTAACTATATAACAATAATTACAATCATTAATATTCCTATTTTTAATGAACTCCAGATTCCTGTATACTATTTTGTGTGATGGAATTGTGCAGAGTAAAGTGTCCAGAGTATTGGTGGTGTGCAACAAGCAGGATCTCAAACTAGCCAGGGCAGCACCTCTCATACAGAAGACTCTGGAGAAGGAAATGTATGTTGAGTATAACCTTTACTTGTATTTGCCTATAAGCTTTTTTTAAAAACTAGTATTACAGTTAGTCATTTTTTCCCCCTTCTCTCACTTTTTTTTTTTTTTGGAGGGGGGGGGGCAGTGATTGTTTCCCATAACTGGACCTTGGAATGATTGTTCAAATTTTTGTGGGTTAGGCATCACAGGGGTGCTAAATGGCTAACCATTGGCAAGGGCAGGCAGGCCCCTGCAAGTCAAACAGCTTGCTAAGAATTCCTAACTTCTATGCTGTAGCTCATAGACTAAGGAATCATTGCTGCTTTCCTAAAGTAGTACTGTATATTGCACATGCACTTTTTATTGTATTTTTAGTGACACTGGTAGTGACAGAGTAATGGACTTTGTCAGCACTGGGAAAAATATAATATTGAAAAAATGTATTGAAAATATTAAGGGTGCAAATATGCCAGGAGAATCCACCATCAGTTCCTGTTGAAAGAATTGCATGAAGAATCGGGAATGATTTTAGTATTACTCCCATGTCAATGAAGAAATTAATATGAGCTGCTTGTCAGCTTGTAGTAGGCAGAAGCAGAGGAACTGCTTACGTAATAAGATGAGTAGATAAATGGGACACTTATGCAACATTTGGGTATCTTTATTCTGGAAGCCTTTTGCCAGCCAGTGGCTTCATCAGTCAGCACAGAGAAAGGTGGAAGATAGGACTGATTACCACCTTTCTCTGCTGCAATGGACTGAAGCAGCCACTGGCTGGCAAAACATTTCCAGAATAAAGATACCCAAACATTGCACAAGTGTCTCATTTATCAACTAGTTCATTTTCTAAATCATTTATTCACATAAGACGAGTAGTTTGATGAATGAAGAAATTGAAGAGATGATGTTGGCTGATACTCAAAAGAAAAAAAAAAGGATTGATTCTAGGAAAGATAAATTAACTTAGAACTTTCTGCAGGTTAGAAAAATTCAATAAAAAACTGTGTAAATTACTAAGTGTAAAAAGAGAAGCTTTGTTTCTTTGTTGGGTCACCTTGTCTTGGTGGAGACAACCAAAAAAAAAAACTATGTAATACAGGGTATTCACAAAAAACACTCCAGATTTCAAACAGGTATAACATGTAACATTATGTAATAATCTTCCAGTTAGTAGCTTCAGATAAAGGATTTCATTCAGTTTCATTAAAGGCACTCAATGTGCGCCCCTCTGGTTGCTCGGCAAAAAATCAATACAGTAGTCCAGTTCGGTCCAGATGCTCTGCAGCATATCTGGTGTTATCGTGCGAACTGCTTCAGTGATCAAAATTTCAGCAGGTAGTGGTGGTACGTAAACTGTGCTCTTCATGTACCTTCAAAGAGAAAAGTCACAAACAGGTCTGGTGACCTTGCAGGCCACTTGCAGAGATCACTGGACCTTACTGTTTGTGACTTCTTTCTTTGGGGGTACGTGAAGAGCACAGTATATGTACCACCACTACCTGCAACCGTGGAAGAACTGAAAATTTCGATGACTGAAGCAGTTTGCATGATAACATCAGATATGCTGCAGTGTCTGGACCGAACTGGACTATCATTTCAATGTTTGCCGGGCAACCAGAGGGGTGCACATTGAGTGCCTTTAATGCTGCCCTATACCACATGAAACTGAATGAAATCCTGCATCTGAAGATACTGTGAAAGATTATTGCAATAAAGTTACATGTTATACCCATTTGAAATCAGGGAGTTTTTGTAGACACCCTGTATAGTGGATAAGTTCTTAGCGGGTATTCCAGTGATGGAGAGGAAACATCATCAAGTTCAAGAGAAGATCAGATATGTTTATGCCCTATAATCAATTCTGCTGAAGCATTCTACTTTTGCTATGCAGGTGCCCAGCACACTTTAAATTCTAATCATCTCCTACATCACTACATTAATTACAGTTTTGCTTTTATGATCATGGGAAGCACTAGTCTCATAGGGGTCATATAGCCCCTGGATAATGGGAAATATAATGTGTTTTGATCCAAGAATGGAGAGGTAGTTCTAATTCCTTCAGTCAAGAGTGCTTTAGTATTAGTACATCTCCCTTGAAGATCACATTAATAGCTGCCATGGCACAACCTGTGTTCACATGTGTAGGTGATGAATCAGGTGTTGATGATCTTACAGAAGAATCAGACCTCTGATTCTCATCTGGAACCTGATTACCAACACCTTCATAAAACCTTTCAACTCATTATCATTTTACACTTAGGTTTCGTATGGCATCATTGTGCTGGTGTAACTCTTTAACTGTGGCATATCCTAAAATTACATTTCTTGGGTGTGTTCGTGAAAAAATTTTTCTTAGTTTCAAAGAGTGCATTTTTATGTATTGATAAGACTAAAATGAGTGTAATCTGATAAAAACTTACTATTTTATGGTGTGTTGAAGTTGGCAAAAAAAAAAAAAAACATAATTTGTTAGCAACAGTGACATAAATACCCCAGTGACATTTACTTTACATTTTATTGATGACAAATTATGATAATTTTAAAGTTTTTTATTGCTTTTAATATTTAACTCTATGTACCTTAGTTTCTTTTGATATTAGATGTGTTGCAAGGTGGCTTTAGTTCTTCAAGCATGAGGAAATGCATGATTCAACATTGTTTCACTGGAGTATACAGTATAAACTGATGCAAATAATTTTTTTTTTTTTATTCAATTTTTTTAATACTTTGGCCTTCTAACACTAAGCAGTACATAGATTACTAATGATATAATTGTTTCAAGATGTAATACTCTTCATAACATGGAAATAAGTCACATTGTGTGACAGTATTGGATTATCCTAGGTTAATTTTTTTTTTTTCAACAAACCGGCCATATCCTACCAAGGCAGGGTGACCTAAACAGAAAAATGAAAGAGGCTAATTATTATGTTAAATAATTAGGTTAGAGGGAAGGCACATAGGTGTACATAACATGTACGTGTCTTTAACCCTTCAGGGTCGCCAGGCCCTCTCCGAGACTTGTTCTCAGGGTCGCCAAATTTTCAAAAAAAAAAAAAATTATTTTTTCTTTTGAAAAGATAAGAAAATCTTTTCCCAATCATAATGGCACCAAAAGTATGAAATTTAATGGAAAACTTAAAGGATGTGCTCTCACGAAGTTAGCGGTTTCGACGATGTTTACACATCGGCGATTTTGCCCACTTTGAGCTCTATTTTCGGCCAATTCTAGTGTACTAGTTGACAAAAATCATAACTATTTTGCTAGAACTCCATTTTTCTATAAATGAGTACAAGAAACCACCCATTTACTGATTTCAACTATCCAATAAAGTGGTCAGAATTTAACAATTTTGCCAATTTCACACAAATTTCAAAAGATGCCAATTTCCAAATAGGGTCCAGAATAAACAAGACAGACATTCCTGGCACTAAAATAACATTTCCTCTGTTCATTAGTCACGTCCCCATGCCCCTCTTACATTCCTTTGCTTTCCACTTTGAATTTTTATTCTCACAAAAAATAGAAGATTTGCTGTTATGCAGACTGCTGCATTAGTGTAGAAATGGTACTTGTGAAAGAATATTAGACTCACCAGTTGACGTGTATTGGACGCGTAGCATGATTTGTTTACTTTTGAATTTTGGCAAAAATCGAAGATTTCTGCTACTTTGGGCTCAATTTCAAGGTACTTTTCATTGTAAAACCAATCAAAATCGTCTCAATTTCTGTAATATGTCTTCCATTCTATAAAATGAGACCAGGAAAACTAGAATACCATCATAAATACCATACGAATATATAATGCAAAGTCGCTGTTTTAAACCAAAAACACTGTCAAAGTTTTTTTTTCTCATTACGCACTGTGTGCTGCAGGATTTTTTTTATACTGTGCACACTGATTACATAGACTCATTCTTTCATATGTAGGCCTACTAGCTTTCTCTCACTAGATTTGAGGGCACTAGAATTTAGGCGTACTAATATGTCAAAAACCCTGGTGCATAAGCCGTACTAGTACGTCCAAAACCCTGAAAGGGTTAAGACAACTGTAAAGCATATTTACAAGCAAATCTTATGATAATACAATTATTTCAAGGTTTATTACTCGTCAAAACATGGAAATAAGTCAGTGTTTGACTGTATTGGGTTATCCTGACCTCTTGAGGGTCAGTGCCATAGTTCTACGGTTTTGAACTCTGGGTTAGTGCCACAGAACTATGCCGTGAGCTCAGCTCACTCAGATAAGCTGTGAGTGGTAAATTTGGGCCTAGATATGAGAGAAGGGGTCTAAGTGGTAAGTGTGCACCATATAAAAAATTCCTGGAGCACACAGTGCATAACAAGGAAAAAACTGAGGCCATGTTTTTAATTTAAAACAGCGAATTTGTGGTGTATTTTCACATGATTTTTATGGTTGTATTCATGGTTTCTTGGTTCATTTGCTGTATAGCCGTTGTGACGTAGCACTTTTTTTATTATAATAATAATCTTGGTTCATTTGATAGAGTGGAAGATATACTACAGAAATAGAGATGATTTTGATTGGTTTTAGGACTGGAAATAGCTTGAAATTGAGTTCAAATTAGCAGAAATATTCGATTTTTGCCAATATTCCAGAGTAAACAGGTCACATAACTCGTCCAAAATGCATCCACTGGTTAGTCTGATATGCATTCACAAATGCGCTGACATTATTTATACAATTATCACAATAATGCTTAACAGTAAATCTTTGATTTTTTTGTGTGAATAAAAATTTAAAATGGAATTAGTGTGTTAAGCCTGGAAACATAACTAACAAACAGAAGAAATGTTATTTAGTATCAGGAGTACCTGCATTGTTTATTCTGGACCTTATTCTGAAATTAGCATACCTTGAAATTTGAGTGAAATTGGCCAAATTATCAATTTCTGATCACTTTATAGTTGACTGGGCAGTTTCCTGTGCTCCGTCATACTAGCAAAAAGCTAAGAACTTGGTCACCTGGAACAGTCATGTTAAATTATTATTATTATTGCTATAACTATTATTATTCAGGATTCAAGTCTGGCAGACCGGACTTAAGTCCTGGAGATGGGAAGTACAGCTCCTGCACTCTGAAGAAGGAGAGTTAATGTTGCAGTTTTATGACTGTAGTATAAGCACGCCTCTGGCAAGAAAGTGATGGAGTGAATGATGATGAGTTCTTCTTTCTCGGGCCACCCTGCCTTGGTGGGAAATGGCCAATGTGTTAATAAATAAAATGTAATTATTATTATTGTTATTACTATTATACAGCCATCTTCATCTTCAAGATTTTGACCTGTGCTAGTCTTTTTTTTTATACATTATGGTTTAAAACTGTGGCAAGCTGCAAACATTTCTTAAATAATGAAGTATGTTAGTGTATTTTAAAGCACTGAATTTACAGTGTTCATATCTACACCAAAGTTTTATAAGCTGCATTTTTATTTGTCATGTATTAATTTTTTTTTATAGGAATCTGCTGCGAGTGACGAGTGCCAACCAGCTGCAGTCAGTGGGTGAAGGCAGCAACAACAACAGCTTCTTAGGTCGCCAGGGACAAGACTTTGAATTCAGTCACCTTGGACCCCTTAAAGTCGAATTCGTAGAGGCTGTAGCCAAAGGAGGTGAAAACCTGGGATCTGTCACATCATGGCTACGACAGCTGGCTTGATAGTAAAATCAGTTGAAAAAAATTAATAAATCACAAACCCTATTTTCTTTTACAAATGGGTGAGAAATACTTCGTGTATACCAAACTTGTAAGTGTATATTTACTAATTACCAGTGCAGGTATATTCTGTCTTAATGCTGAATGACCCATATGAGGTTAGTGCTTTTTTTTTTTTTCTTTTTAAATATAATGTGCATCTTAAATTCTGACTAAATTGGTATGAATGTAGTATTGCATTTGAAAGAAAACTCTCCATGAGAATTTATACAAAAATATACTACTTGAAATATAGCACCCTAATTGCAACAAATATGCATTCATGCTTATCCTTGCATATAATGCATGATCTCCTATTCAGTCAGTGCCCTGTGATACAGTAGTGAGTATAGCCATTAATACACAGGGAGCACCCAACTTAGGAACACCTAAGTTGCTTATGTCCGTACTAATGAATAAAGCAATTAAAAATTTATATACACTGCTACACACTTTAAACAGGTGAAACATGACCATCCATTATTCTATTATTTACTATGGGAAAATAGGTTTCATGTTATAACAACTTGTTTGTAAATTTAAGCAGCAGGAATGCAACTTGTTTACAAGTTGGGACCGCGTATACTTGGAAGTGTGTAGTACAGAACAGGTACTAAATGCAAGTAAATATTTTTTTCTATTACAGTACAGTACTGTATTATGAAATGGCATTTATATTTCTTTCTTCTCCCAAATTGTGTACTCTGCATGTTAGTAATATGAGTATTAGTTTTAATTCTGGGCTCATATTAGTTACAAGAAGAATAAATAGGTCATACATATATAAGATTCTTTTAATTTGTTATAATTAATTTCCATCACATAGCATAAGACCTACACAAGTGTGTAAATACTGTTTAGTGAAATTTCACAGCATTTTTTCAGTTTCATGACACTACAGATTTGATGTGCTTTAACCACACTTGCATGTACTGCAGTCACTGTACAGATTTGTAGAAGGGATGAAGAAACAATGTAAAATGTCCAATATGTCCAGTTATTTTGTCAGTAGACAGGTTTTCATGCTCATTTACATGATGTATAGTGTGCTTCCAAACACAAAAGTATTTATTACTCTGCTGGTGTTAATGGATGAAGACTCAAAAGGAAGAATAATCTCCACATGAAGCAAAATAGTGTACCTTTTGTTGGTGAATAAAGGAACAGTTTGCAATTATTTTCTTGCTTTATTAATTACATTTCTAAATATTCAAGTGAAAGACATCAGATATTTTATTAATTCTGCTTTATTTCAGTATGCAGTGAATCTTGTAAACTAGGGTTTGTTCTAGCATCATGATGGTCCTTTATATATCCTTTTTCTTACCGACCCGTCAGCTGTCTCGTACCAAGGCAGGGTGACCCCCCCCCCCCCAAAAAAAAAAAAGAATCACTTTCACCATCATTCAACACACTCACCATAATTCACACATAATCACTGTCTTTGCATTACCATTAAAAAACTTATAGTATTAAAATTCCATACAACAGCTTCAGTTGCTGAAATGCTCAGTAGGGCCCCAACTTACAATGTTTCAACTTGTGATCTAATTTACAAACAAGTTTCAAAAGGCATAACATTGATAAAATTGTCTAATGAATTTCGCTCTGCATATCGTAAAGGGTTCTTAAATGGAGATATCGTAGGTTGAAGTAGACACACTTGTAGGATGGTAAATATATTGTCAGACTGAGATGAGGGATGGAGCCCCAGCTGCCTTGCCTGTCTACGCCTGGATCGTCTGCCGCCGAGTGAGGCCGGGACAGGGGCATGAGCCCACACATCTGTATCCCGTGACGTCACACAAAGCCACAGGCCTACAAGGGATCTCGTGTCTAAAGCACATGGATGATGCTACTGCTATGCTATATAATACTGGGAATACAGGGATCAGCAACTATGCTGACATGCAGTTAGAAACATGTGCCTTTTTTTTTTTTTTTTTTTAACATGTTGGCTATCTCCCACCGAGACAGGATGACCCAAAAGAAAGGAAAACCCAAAAAGAAAAAACTTTCACTATCAGTCAACACTTTCAACATCACTCATACATAATCACTGTCTTTGCAGAGGCACCCAGATACGACAGTTTAGTCACTCCAAATTGCCATTATCCCAAACCCCTCCTTTAAAGTGCAGGCATTGTACTTCCCATTTCCAGGACTCAAGTCTGCCATGTAGCCATTATTTATTTATTCTCATTTATAGAGGATAATCATTTCAGGATTACAATTGAGCTTTTTGAAACTTGAAACATCAGGAATGCAACTTGTTCATACGTTGGGGCCCTTTTTATATCTTATTAGATACTCCAACTATGTTATTTTTACTTGAATCACCAGCCATACACTTATTTAATATATCATACTTCTGCAAAACTGTGAAAGTGTTCTGCATTTTTTCCTGTTCAAGAGCCTACCATCATACATAAAGGGGATTACCAACAGATCCATAGCTGTCTTCAAGAGAACTGGATAGATTTCTAAAGTCAGTACCTGACCAGCCAGGCTGTGGTTTGTACATTGTGGTTTGTACATTGGGTTGTGTATGGTCGATGATCAGGCTGGGAGGCCTGGTCATTGACCGGGCTGTGGGGGTGTTGACCCTCAGAACACCCTCCAGGTAGACTCAGCACTTTTTCATTATTACAGTCATATATATACATGTATTTTCCTTTTTTTTATGTTATAAAGATAACAGCTGTAGAGTCTAGAAATTATTGTACTGTATATAAAAAAGCCAGACTGGACATAGCAGATATTCTTTTCAGAAGTACGTATTATTATTATAATCAAAAAGAAGCGCTAAGCCACAAGGGCTATACAGCGCTGCAGGGTAGGGAAGGAAGTGAGGGTATTGGATGGCAGAAGGGAGGAGGGATGATCAGTAGGTTACAGAAAACAGCGGGGCAGGGGATAGTACGGGGGTAGAGGGTAGCAAGAGATTGAAGTAGAAAGGGCTGAAGGTATCAGAATTTGTGAAGTCAGTCAGTTGTTGTCAAAAAGTCAATGAGAGAGTCCTGATGAAAGGTGGGTCCATCAGCGAGAAGGGAAGGTACAGAGAGAGCAGCGGAGCGAAGACGACGACAGAGGTAAATTCTGCGTGCTCATTGATAAAGTGGGCAGTCCAACAGAATGTGGCTGACTGATAATGGAGCTTGGCAATTCTCACAGAGAGGAGCAGGGCGCCTCTCCATGAGATATCCATGAGTAAAACGAGTATGGCCAATGCGAAGACGGGAGAGAGTAGTCTCCCAACCTCGACACTGGTGATAAGAAGACGGCCAGTAACCTATACTTGGTTTAATAGATTGAAGTTTGTTGCCGAGCATAGTAGACCAACGGTGTTGCCAACGGGTGTGAAGGTGGGAAGATATTGCAGCAAAATAGTCCGTAAATGGAATACCTCTATATGAAACTGGTAGGTCATGTACTGCTGACCGCACAGCAGTGTCTGCCTGTTCATTGCCCTGTACGTCAACATGACCAGGGACCCAACAAAAAACAATATCTTTATGCTTGGTAAAGATGCGGCATAGCCAAAGTTGGATACGGAGGACTAAGGGGTGAGGTGTATCAAATTTCTGTATAGCCTGTAAAGCACTAAGGGAGTCTGAGACAACCACAAATGATGACACAGGCATAGATGCAATACGGATAAGTGCTGCAAGGATGGCATACAATTCAGCAGTAAAAATACTAGCCGAAGATAGTAAATGCCCTCGTACGACGCTGTCCGGAAACTGCTGCGAATCCTACCCCATCAGAAGACTTAGAGCCATCTGTGTACACAGCAATGGCATGAGAATGAGAGTGAAAGTGGTCAAGAAAAAGAGAGGGGGAAGCGACCGTAGACAGTTGGGCTTTCGAGCAAGGGAGAGAGAAAGAACAGACTCGAACAGCTGGAACTTCCCAAGGGGGTAGGGAAAAGTGAGATGCTACATGAACATAGAAAGGTGGTAATTGAAGAGAAGACAAGAGCGAATGAAGGCGAAGAGAGAAGGGACGGAGTAAACAGGGGCGGCGAACAAATAAAGAATGTCTACTAATATCAGTGACCATTCTATAAATGGAAGGATTGCGGAGATCATGAGAGTGTACATAGTAGCGAAGGCAATGGGCATCACGGCGATCGGATAAGGATGGAACGTTCGCTTCTGCATAGAGGCTCTCGACAGGGGAAGAGCGAAAAGCACCAAGGCATAAACGTAATCCTTGGTGATGAATGGGGTTAAGGCTAGAGAGAGTAGCAGGAGATGCCGCTGAATAGATCTGGTCACCATAATCAAGTTTCGATAAAATAAGGGTGGAATGTAGGTGAAGGAGGGTTCGACGCTCAGCTCCCCATGAAAGATGAGCAAGGGTTTTAAGAAGGTTCAGCCGGCTGTGACAAGTTGCCTTCAGAGAGGTAATGTGAGGTTTCCAGGATATTATTATTATTATAATCAAAAAGAAGCGCTAAGCCACAAGGGCTATACAGCGCTGCAGGGTAGGGAAGGAAGCAAGGGAATTGGATGGCAGAAGGGAGGGGGGATGATCAGCAGGGTACAGAAAACAGCGGGGCAGGGGATAGTACGGGGGTAGAGGGTAGCAAGAGATACAAGTAGAAAGGGCTGAAAGTATCAAAATTTGTGGAGTAAGTCAGTCGTTGTCAAAAAGTCAATGAGAGAGTCCGGATGAAAGGTGGGTCCATCAGCGAGAAGGGAAGGTAGAGAGAGAGCAGCGGGGCGAAGACGACGACAGAGGGAAATTCTGCGTGCTCGTTGATAAAGTGGGCAGTCCAACAGAATGTGGCTGACTGATAATGGAGCTTGGCAATTCTCACAGAGAGGAGCAAGACGCCTCTCCATGAGATATCCATGAGTAAGACGAGTATGGCCAATGCGAAGACGGGAGAGAGTAGTCTCCCAACCTCGACACTGGTGATAAGAAGACGGCCAGTAACCTATACTCGGTTTAATAGACTGAAGTTTGTTGCCGAGCATAGTAGACCAACGTTGTTGCCAACGGGTGTGAAGGTGGGAAGATATTACAGCAAAATAGTCCGTACATGGAATACCTCTATAAGAAACTGGTAGGTCATGTACTGCTGACCGCGCAGCAGTGTCTGCCTGTTCATTGCCCTGTACGTCAACATGACCAGGGACCCAACAAAAAACAATATCTTTATGCTTGGTAAAGATGCGGCATAGCCAAAGTTGGATACGGAGGACTAAGGGGTGAGGTGTATCAAATTTCTGTATAGCCTGTAAAGCACTAAGGGAGTCTGAGACAACACAAATGATGACACAGGCATAGATGCAATACGGATAAGTGCTGCAAGGATGGCATACAATTCAGCAGTAAAAATACATAGCCGAAGATAGTAAATGCCCTCGTACGACGCTGTCCGGAAACTGCTGCGAATCCTACCCATCAGAAGACTTAGAGCCATCTGTGTACACAGCAATGGCATGAGAATGAGAGTGAAAGTGGTCAAGAAAAAGAGAGGGGGAAGCGACCGTAGACAGTTGGGCTTTCGAGCAAGGGAGGAGGAAAGAACAGACTCGAACAGCTGGAACTTCCCAAGGGGGTAGGAAAAGTGAGATGCTACATGAACATAGAAAGGTGGTAATTGAAGAGAAGACAGAGCGAATGAAGGCGAAGAGAGAAGGGACGGAGTAAACAGGGGCGGCGAACAAATAAAGAATGTCTACTAATATCAGTGACATTCTATAAATGGAAGGATTGCGGAGATCATGAGAGTGTACATAGTAGCGAAGGCAATGGGCATCACGGCGATCGGATAAGGATGGAACGTTCGCTTCTGCATAGAGGCTCTCGACAGGGGAAGAGCGAAAAGCACCAAGGCATAAACGTAATCCTTGGTGATGAATGGGGTTAAGGCTAGAGAGAGTAGCAGGAGATGCCGCTGAATAGATCTGGTCACCATAATCAAGTTTCGATAAAATAAGGGTGGAATGTAGGTGAAGGAGGGTTCGACGCTCAGCTCCCCATGAAAGATGAGCAAGGGTTTTAAGAAGGTTCAGCCGGCTGTGACAAGTTGCCTTCAGAGAGGTAATGTGAGGTTTCCAGGATAACCTACGATCAAAGAGGAGGCCCAGAAACTTGACTGAATCACGTTCAGGGATACGGGAGCCATAGAGGTACAAAGGATGATCGGAGATGACAGAGCGT